GGGCTAGCTCTTTACGGTCAGAAGAGGACACTCAATGTATTTCCAGCGTGGCACGGGCTCTGGTTGAGAAACCACCGAGTGAAAACCCCCTTACGCTGTGACACTCGAGATCGAAGAAACGCCGCTAGCTAGAACACATTTATATTATATTTAGAGATGTGAACACTGCATGCGCGCGTAGCTAGCACAGGACAGTTTACTGCCTGGAACACTAATCGTCCGATTATACATAAATGTGCTGGACAGGTAACGACTCCTGCTAGAATCTCGGCAGGATGGTAGGCACTGATAAAATGGGACTATTTGGGACGGGAATATACTTATATATATATTTAGTTTCACTGGCAAGCGTCGTATTTAGTGCGGCCTGCTGCGCAGGCTACAGTGCTGCCGCAATCATCCGTGCGATTCACAACGTGGGCACGTCCTACTAAGGCTTTTATTTCCCCAAGAACAACCATGGCACGCGCTGCATTGTAGATGTCGATCTAACTTTAGTTTTAGCCAACTGTTACATAGTAGTATTCTGAAGCTCTAATGTGACTATGGCACCGCCCCCGTGCCTTGCAAAGAAATACCAATAAACGGCCATCATGCCATATGTAAGGATTGAGAAGGCCACAGTTAGATCAATAAGGGAAGGGACCACGACTGAACTCGTCGGGTATAGGTATAAGTACAAAGAAAGGAGCCCAACTCGGCGGGAGTACGGTGGCTTGTTTTCGACGAAGAGGTTAAGGAGCGGTGATCAAAGATTCATACACGGAGGGGGCACGGGGATGGGGGAAAACAATAAGGACAGAGAAGCAGAGAAGTGTGCAGAGCTGGGTCTGAGAAGTGGTTTGGAGTTAAATTCAAGAGAATTTCCATCTGTGGGGTATTAAGAAATATTGGTCAGGCTTCACTCGATCGGGAGTATGAGGTTGAGTAGATGAGTCCTCACCGGTTACCACAGTTCACGCATCTGAACGGGAGTCAGAGTTAGAAAGAGGAAAAGTAGGGTCAATGATACGTACGTTACGAATGTCTAGCAATAAGCACGATGGTGGGTGGGATGAGTCAGCCAAAATCCCCAATCTTGTTTAATACATTGCCTTACCGTCATCGGTTCATCCGCACTTCTGGTCTGGGCTTGACGATATCGGGTTTTACGCTAAAAGGAACATCTCAGTGACGTCAGGATATGAAACATTCGTGATGAATGCTAGCCTCTTTGCAGCGACCACATTGGAATGCATCAGTTTCAGCCTCTTGCTCACCGGCTCCCAAAGACTTGAACAAATTATCCTCCATCAATTGCGCATCGGCTTCCTTGCGCTCTTCTGAAGCCATTTCCTAAGATAAACGTGAGGGTGGGTAAACCGATGGAGATGATGAGAGACTTTTCTGTACCTGGACACTCATCGTGCAGAACTTGGGAATAGGCAAGTCTCCCGAAACAATGAATTCCCGTAGCTGCGGGTTGTTCTTGTCCTTCAAGTTGAGGAACAATCTTCTCATTTTGTTCCTATACGCAGCATTTACTGCGCGGAACTCTCTGTACACTTCACCTTCCACGGCCTGTGCCTTTTTAAGCAGTTGCTCCGAAGCTATTGAGTTTGTTCAGTCAGCTGGGACGCCGATGCTTTTCTCAGTGTGGGATAGGACAGAAACTCACGGTATCGTGAATCATTAGCAAGCGCGTCATATACCATTTCCAGACATTTGTCCCGGACTTTATCCCCAAGTGTCACAATGGTAACTCCATCGGTCTTGGTGGTCCTGGGAGCGCCGGGTTTAGCACCGGGTACGACTTTATGCGGAACGTTGACTGGTGTAGAGGGTGTTTCTTGACGTGAGGGACTGGGAGTACCAGAAGGGTTCTCAGTCTTGATCGCAGCAACTTTGCCTTTGGCAGGATGCCATGCAAAAAAAAAAAAAGTTAGTGAAGTGATCGAGGCGGAGCGTGCAAGAAGGCTTATTCACCGGCAGGAGTCTTGGTTTTCGGCTTATCCCCCACATGGACCTCCCCTTTCCACTTCTTTACGATCACTTTGGACAGATCTGCAACATCCTTCGCGCTGTGGTTCCGAAGTTTGCTGACAGCCACGCCTACCTTCGTCTCCTACACTTGCGCAAGAAACAAATCAAAAACTGGATAAGCGCTGAAAGATCGAAGCTACGAACCTTGAGAAGTTGCTCGGTGGCCACGACATCCTTAAGCAGCTGCTTCATAATCGTCACGCATTCCTATTTTCGATGAGCGGAAGAAGCACCAAAAAATCGAAGTGAAAGGGGTTCGTTAGCCAACGTGTTAATCACGAGTGTTTTTGTTTTCAGTGAACCAACCTCTGCAGCGTTGGGACCCTGTGATGCTGCGGCCGCATTCAACGCCTTCACAAGCGTCTTCACCTCCGCTGCGTCTGTCATGTAATGAAGTGTCTAATGCGTATTCTACACGATAAGCTCTACTGTCAATGCCACCCTGATGCGTTTGTTGTTGAATTGCGACAGAAGCACGTCACGAGATTGGGTGATTGGTTTGCAACCTCGTGACGCAACTTTATGCGTCAAAAATTCTGAGGGCTGTTGCTCTCATCGCTGGCTCATGCATTAAGGTTTGGCCTTCGGGGTTCTGGATACTCGTTTTTCTGAGGTCTCTAGCCCAAATATACTCGTTTTAGGATTAAGTGAGGAATGTGAATCCTCGAGCGCCCAACCCGGTTCTCCATGATTCAGGTTACTTGGGTCCTTCCGCATTCGTTTGTATTCATGTAGTGCTGTTGTGTGGAGAGACTGGAAAAATTCTTCACAAGCTTCTTGCCGAGACCCGCTTTCCAACATTCACAATGATCGGAACAGGCCCTCGACAATGCTGTCAAATTACTGTCGTTCGTGTGGGACTGCTTCCTCTGCCGAATCTAGGGAAAGCCTTTCCAGTTCTATGGATGTGTGTCCTGGTTCTTTTGGCAAACGTTCGTCGTGCCTACGGAGGCTTTCTTATTTTTTTTAGCAGTTCGTCCCTCATTCAAAGTGGTAGTGTACTTCGGTACTCCGACTGAACTCTTATAGACATCGCACTAGAGGTGTCCAGATCGGGGTCGCGACAGGCCCTTGATGAATCCTTGGATTGTACGTCCCATTGACTGCCTCAGTTTGAGGACCGAGGTATTAGGGACAATTTCTCGTCAGACATTGTTCTTCTCTTTCTCTTGCAGAATTGTTATCCGTGCCGATTGAAAAATCTTACTCTGTGGGTGGAGGTGTGGGCGGTGGAAATCGCCCTCACCGATTCATCCCGAATGGTGGGGGTCTCTTTTGCTGATATGTAAATCTGGGCTGCCACGTGCAGAGTCGCTTTTCGCCAAAATTAGTCTTTGGAATAGGGTCGCGGTTGTTGATCAAATTTGGACTGTCCAAGCCAGCCAGGTTGGAATGCCCCTGCGAGCATGGGGGTTGCGCAAAGAATTTCAAATGATGTCTTGATGGACCACGTGATGTGTGAATGCGGCCATGTCTGAAATAGGCAATGTCGACCAGAGCGCTTACTCGTCACCCCATCCTCGGGGCGCGCGTATTCAGGTTCGTCATTGTGACTAGGGGCTTCTCATTTTAGTGCTTCATCTAAATAAGGCGAGCTTTCAAGCGGGAAAGGGAAGAGATCCCCTTTTTCGCCACAAACACCAAAAGCACATGAAAGTTTGATCAGTTCAAACCTCGTGCTTCATCGATGGGGGGGCCTTCCGTTCTGAGCCCCGACTTCTATTCAACCGCGGTATATGATGCAATTTGATCAATTTTCACAAGCTTCAAGCTCTGTTTTCTTAGTTTCTTTTTTCCCCGCTTCTTCGCTACTCGTTTTGGGCTCGTCACATTGCTAGATCTACATCATATTTCAATAGCGATTAAGGTTTAAGTATAATTAGCTGCGGTATATTGCCCCCTTGGCTTGTCGGGTAATAACCTTTTCGGATCCGCTTGTGGAGCTACCTTTGATTTCACAAGCTTCCTTCGACCTGACATGACATCAGTCAAGACCTGTCAGCGGACTTGGTGTCCCATGAGTCCGCAGGTAGGCAGGGCACTGACCTCTCTTTACACGGGGAGAGAGCAGTCAGGAGGCACCCTAGTCTGTCAGTCTCGACTTTTGCATTTTTGGACAAGATATAAAAGGCGGCGTGGGGTTTTGCCCTCCCTGTCGTTCTCCCGCCGAGTGCAGGGCGTAACGATCTCTACGCCCGCAAGAAAGCCGGCTAGCCTCGTCGCAATGTCCTCCTCGGCAGCAAAGTGTACCAAAACGTACTCAAAACAACAGGCTATTTTGGTCAACGACTTCAAAGATAAGCTTGAGGATTTGAGGGGAGGCCGGCGAAGACGGCGGCGGCGCACAGGCTGAGGGGCGGGAGGAGTGTAAGGGCCTGTTGGAAGGCGATCGAGTCCGTAAACGAGTTCCACGGTAGTCCTGGAGCGCAGAGACCCAACGCCACGTCGCCACTCCCCTCCTATTTCCGTCGGTACCGGCCCCAAACGCTTCACGACCAGGCTCTCATCAAGCTCCACGGCGAGAAGATCGACTGGGAGGCATTTAAGGGCAATGCGATCGATCTGGGTACGTTTCGATCTATCTTACTGAGGTCGTCTGGTCTAACTATTATACCCAGGCACCAACATTTCACCCGACGACTTTATATTGAAGATGCACCCCAACGCCGCGACCTGCGCCTCCCTCAAATATCCGCGTGGCCGCCTCTTGCAGCTTCGGGGCGTCGTCAAGGACAACGAGCTGCGCCACCCGACAATGCTCGACGCGGACGGCGAAAAGCATGGCATTCACGAGACGTCGATGGAGCTAGCCATCCACCCGTACGGTCCCGGCTTCATCATGGCTGACGGCAAGGGACGTATCGTCGGCCTCCTCGCCGGCGGTGCCGGCCAGACAGATCCCCTCTTCGACTGAGTTTTTGACAACCGTATCAAGGCGTCCTTTCCCCAATGCCCACTTCAACCCGATCAAAGCCTAGGCGTCGCGACATCAATTTAGAACGACATTGGGAATGCTGGTGAGGTGGTCAGAGGCGGAGACGTCTCGTTCTTCTTTCTGCTTATGCGACTTCTTCTTCTCCTTCCGTCAAGCTCTTTTATCTATGGATTAGTTGTCGATTTAGATCGGTGCTCTGACCAATGAACTGCTGTTTGGATTCATATCTTTCTTTCCCTCTCATCTTTTCGTATAACTATGTAACGGCCTTTACTAACGATATAGGTCACGGACCCGTAGGCTTGTCGTTTAGGTTCATCTCGTTTCTTTCCTCTTCTCCCTTCGGGTAACTGACGGATTTAACGTGCAGGTCTCAGACAAAACTCGATACGATTAGCTGGACTACCTGAAATGCTCGCAGCCCTTCGAATGACGTCTACTGAACCTATGCAGGCCTTCGATCCTCTTACGGTAGCTTCTCGTTTTTTCTCGGACACTAGCAACTTGACCGTATCCTCTCCCACTCCTCTACCCCTAACCTTCTTCTGGTACCACGTAGTAGTTGTCTCTCTTCTCGCTAACCACTTTGCCGTCGCTTTTTGTTTATCCTTACATAAAACTCCACTTATTGACTTTGCTCTTGCGACTTCACTCTTATATAAACAGCATCGTTTACTGGTATCCGGAAATCGAAGCTAACGATATTACCTAGTATGCACCATTCATAGGCAACCCAATCTGAACTGGTCTCAATATCCACTCGCAGTCACATACAGATTGTATAACCATGGCACCCTCATCGCATAAAGTAAGCATGTCTTGTCCAACCGGAGGTTTCGTTCACTGCCATGCTTTATTCCAATTGCGGATCCGTCCCTCCGCAGGCGAAACGCGCAGATCATCTGCAGTGCATAACAAAAAGAAAAAAAAAAGATTGCCTCCGTTTCAGGGATCGGATCTCAGTTAGGAATGGTTTTCCATCGTTGTGAACTAACTCGATCAGCGTTCGGCGTTCCTCGCTGACGCAAGTGGGCTGTTATGGCCGCTCCTCGCCAACTATGGGGTTGTGATGGTTTATTGCACCGATTACGGGCTCGGAGTGGATATGCTTTGGCCTCAGGGGTCCGCGCCCATGCTGAAGCATCGTCAGGAACGGTGATCTAGGCACAAGGGTTTTCAATGTTCCGAAATTACAGATGTGTTGCACCTCGGGACACCCACCCCAGAATACAAAAATAACTGGCACCAAAAGTGTTCTTGTTATCGGTTGATAGCGCTTATGCCGGAAACAAATGCATGCAGTTGGAAGGAAAAAAATGATCAACTCGACCTGTTGTTGGATGTTGATGACTATCTACTATAAGTGAATTGGAGTTCAACCCCGGTGAAAAGGTCAAGTGCCGGCTAGCTCTCACGAAAGGAGCAGTGCGGGAGTGACTTGAACAATATGTTTGGCAACTTTCAATGACGCTTCGATGGCATGGATGCAATGGATGCAATGGGAGATGGCAACTCCCCACGCGCACACAGTATATACTACTCTCATTGCCCGAGCCCCAAAGAATAGAATTGTACCAACAAGTCGTTTTGCGGCGTGAGTTCTTACGCACGCCCATTGTAAGCCGCATATTTGATACCGACTCACCCACTATGGGAAAGTCAAAAAAAAAGTCCTTGGAACATAACTTTGCTTCCGCTTCTCTCTCTCACTCTGAACTTGGGGTTGAGCCAACGGAAACACACGCAGTTGTACTGGACATGCAATGCAAGAATCTGGATCCGTGGGACAGGAGCATACGAGTAGTACTTATACGTTGGGTCGCGATAAGAAAACAGAAGCACAGCCCATATGTGATGCCGGAATTGTAAATGGCCTGGATCATTTACATACTTATGATCGACGAGCGCTTGTTTGCCTTGGCATTTGTAATCCATGAACAAATATTGGAGATTGGACTTGAATTGTATAAAATAAAGGGACGAATACATAATCCAAAATGGTCCGGGATATGGAATACAAATCGGAAGACGAAAAAGCAAAAGTGGTGCTTTTTTGAAATATAAAATACGTGGCATCAAAGGTTTTCCAATCACCAAGTACTTACATAACCAACCCTTTTATGGTATCTCTTTACCAGTTTCCAGTGCGCTTATACGACATATGAATCATGATCAGTCAACGTTACTGCACGATAGGTCCCGAAGCCCCGATTTCCTGCCCGAATTTGAATGGCTGATAGGGGGGTGTTATGCGGCCGGTCTACATATGGACTTTTTTTTTTTTTTTATCGAACGTTTGCGTGAACAGTGCACGTATGTATTTTTCGTCAATATTGGAACAGATTAGATCGTCGCGAAGGGCGAGCAGTTATTGTGCTGTGCGGGTTCAAGATGGAAATGAATTGAGATCGAGTTGAGGAGGGGAGCCCCGGCGGCGACTGCGGTTTAATTTCGTCCACTGGTTTGCATGACCGCCTTTCAACATGCACATGCCGTCTTCCTGCGCCGGTTGAACACCGCGTGCTATGCACCATATGCCGTTATTTAGTATACCTAGCTAGTTAGTGGGTATGGAATCGTGGCTCTGTTGATCGTTGTGCAAGGGTGGAATGATCAGACCGCATGCATGCATGCATGGTCAATGAAACGTGGGATAAAAAAAGTGATCAATATATCGGTGCTTGAGTTCCAGTGGTATTGGGACCTCCACTTGTGGTTCAAGGAAAATCTAGTTGGTAAAGTAGGAGACGAGATGAGGAAAACAGGGAATTCCATTACATTGCGATATGTATATATTTGTTACCGAGAACCTTACTTATGATGCGCAGCGAATTGGGTTTGGATAATCCAAGCGCGATTGCTAGCCAACAAATCTCATTGATATCATCTCGTTATCACTTCCGATGTGGCTTCCTCTCCGTCAGGGAAAAATAAACGGGAGAATTACAAGAAGCCATCAAAGCCGCTGCGCGCTCACCGTGTACAACTTTCCAGCCCGATAATAATGACGGCCACCGTGTGCGCTTTCTGCTTGAGTGAGAAAAAGGAGATAGAACCATGCATGGGGAGGCTACACAAGCCCGCAGCAAGGGAATTAGATGATATGTAGGTCTATCATTAAAGGTGCAAGAAGCGAGGTAAGGTTAGTGTGGAGGGACCTTACACAGTGCATTGATCTCTAATTGTCGTACCCGGCGACAGGAGCCCCGGAGCATCCCATCCATCAAAAGGAGCGGTGTTATTCCAATTTTAGAATTTACTAGCTATGTATTTGGTTTTCGTGCTTGTTGCTTTTTCTTCTTCCGAAGTTTTGATGTTGTACAATGCATGGGTCGGGTATGAGAAAAACACAGAGAGATATTTAAAGAGCCCGGATCTTTTCCTCGAAGCGATGATGCCAGACAAGTACACATGGTACTTCTGCTTAGGTTCTTTGGGGGGGGGGGGGGGTCCTCATTTCTGGGCACCGAGAAAAGAGATAGGGGAACCATGCAGAGAAGCAGGGGACCACAAAGGGGGCTTCGCCAAAGGGCAAGTCCCAGCTCGGTGAACGATTGAGCACCAAGATAATAGTGTACGTCCAGTAATGTAACTTGGGGTTCACATTTTTTTACGCAAGTACATATTGTGTGTGCAATCCGAGTAGTAAGCTTCATGGGGATCTGATGGCCAGGGGTTGGAAGGGGTTTGGTCTGGGAAGGAACTTTCCTGATCCAGGGGCCCCAAAACCCTCTCTCTCCTGAGCTTCGGAACTTCCAAGTCCAGTATTCGGGCCCCCTGCTGAAGGTCCGGGGGTCCACTAGGATCACATAGGATCTATCTAGAGTAAGTATGCTACATCATGGGTGAGATGGTATGGGTCGGGACCATTCCCTGGTTCGCCGTTAGAAATAATAGTTCACACTTGCTAGCTGTTGATTTGCCTAAGATTATCGTAGCCAGAATATTCTTCCCCTTGCAACGCACTCCGTGGTGCCAGTGCTAACCGGTGCACACACACACACCCTATACACGGCGACATGTAACAACGATGGTCAGTATGTATAGTGATTGAAGTGAGTGAGTGATGGCGACATCCTGAAGCAGGTCCGATTGAAGAATAAGCGTTGAAACGACTAGTGACCCTTTTGGCACTGGAACGCGGATCAAGGACACAGAAGGGTTCCCACGGAATAGAGTTAGTTATGGGCGGGATAGCTGCCAGCGCAGCTCGGAACATGATCAGGGGTCTCCGTACGAGGTCCGACCGTGGTTAGCACGGTACCATCAGCCGCGTATTCTATGTGTTATCACCACTCGTAGTAGCACTGGTGCTAGTTGGGAGCAGGTCTCTTGAAAAAAGAATGAGATATACGTACGTGCCGCGGCCAGGCCGGGACACAGGCACCATCAAGTGATATATCGATAGACAAGGATCATGCATAAGTAATGAAGTTGATCTACGTTAAGCATCAACGTTTACTAAACTAAAAGGATGTACGAGAATGATCGAACAAATATCGAAGTACGCCAGGGGAAAAGGAGCGACGCCCTATATCCGACGTCCGAGCAGGCTAGTTACTAATCCGTAGAGATCAACGTAGTGGCCGGAGAGAACTCCAAAGGAAAAGTTTGGTTTCTGGAGTTCGGGATTTACACCTTGGAATGATGTATTGCTATCATTGCATGCTGCTATTGGTTTTCACTCGCGCGAAGGGTTGTTTGGGTGAACGAAAAAAGTCGTCAACACTCTTGGGAGGGTCAAGTGCATGGTGACATCATCATGAAACCCACAAAAAAGGAATAGGAAAAAAAAAAGGGACAGGCAATGTTCACACACACAGACAGTTGTGTACTTTAGAAATACACTGTGTGAGTGAAAAAAAAAATAAATTGATAGGGGGCGGAGGGATTAGGCCGTTCGCCACCAGTTCAAACAGCACTAAGGCCTAGCTTGAGAAATTATCGGTAAAAAATGATGAGATCGGCCTGCATGCGTCTTGCGTGATCGTGAACAACTGTTTTTGTGCAAATCGTTATGCGGATCTACAACTCCCAGACTTGGTTTATGTAGTACGTGGACTGAGTGATCAGTCCACCCAGAATGTGGTGGCAACGTCTTCCGTGTGATGCCTAGTATTCACGCCGGAGAATGACCCAAAAAAAAGGAAGATCGGAAGAACAATATGAGGCCTGGAGCGATTCTGCCGGGGAGGTAATACTTAATGGGCACCGCATGCAGTTGATCATTATGATAGTTACTGGTACGGTTGAACCCCGATCTTAACGCGTGTGTATATAGGCATAAGCGAGCGGGGTTCAAAAAGCGGGGTTCGATCTCATGAGTGGCCATGAGGGGGGTGCTGGCTATACAGCACTCGTGCGATTACGCCATATACGGGCACAATAAATGTGGTCATGATGCTGAGCCTGCCGAAGTAATGCCAGGCATGTATGTACTACTATATACGAGTTGCTTCGTTGCAAGCCCAGCCCAGAACATCGCTATATGGAGATTAAAATATTATGCACGGCCATCAGTCAATACCTAGGGCTCAACGCCGATTTCACCGATATATCGCGCGACGCTCGTAAGTACCCGTGAGTAAGCCAATATGCGAGCCATTCGTGACAAGGCACGACATGCAGCACAATGACAGTACTAGGGCACACACGGAGATGAGCTTGAGGCATATCGGAATCGATGCGCGCACTTGGAAGAACCATCGATCCGTTATAGTACCTGTGACGTGCATGTGTTCGGTCGCAACCCGAGCACAGTTCGCCGATGGTCACAACGATACCTTACTGGTTATGGTTTCTGATGGATTCCCGGGGTTTCGGGTACGCGTCAAATCTAGATGGCAATGCTTTTTTCTTTTTCAAAGAGCTGGTGGGCCTTGTGCCTGTTGGTTGGTTGCTGCAAAAGGGCCACGTAATCAAAGTGCTCCGAACCAAATACACAAAAACAAAGATAACGTAAGATTGACGGTTAGAGAGCATTAATGTAATGGTGTAGGTTCCAAAGAGGACCAAGTGTGCCCAAACACTATCTGACCAGTCGCACTACTCGCGCACGGACGCTTTACCGAGCGCCAGTGACGTTCATTTTCTTATCGTTCTTCTCGGGTCAAAATCAACCCCATCGGACCGTTTAGGACCGGAATTTACATAAGTAATCTGTCTCAATCTTAGAAACGAAAGTGCTTGCCAAAAAGGGGTTCGGGTCGATTAAGAAGCCCGAGGTTCTATGTCCAAGCGCGAACCAAAATTCCACCTGGAATTCAATCTTACGGTGCGAGGCCACGCGTCCGTGCCCAAAAAAGTGTTTCATTTGGCTCCACTGGATCCAATTACATATTATTGACGTGGGTCTAGACGCTATAGGGGGAGAGGGGGGTCAATCCGCTCCATGTTTACGCTACGAATGATGACAGAATAACCTGCCAACCCAGATGTTCGCTAGTTATTTACAGTTTTGCTTCTATCCATTCATTCACGATTTGAGATAACCGTAGAGATAAGGACCAAAACACTCACAAAGCGTTAATTTCCGATCGTCGCTTGTGTCCGTTCATGAGCGCTCGCGTTATGCTCTGATCGACGATCATGTAAACCCAATTAGTTTGTCGTTCCACATCAAGCGATAACCACGCAAAGCAATTCATTCCATTAATGAGATAGGGCAATCAGCTACTCAGCTGGATACAACTCGTACTGATGATTTTATTCGATCTACGTCTGTGCGTATTACAATGTGTAAAATAATCGACTGTCAAGCGCGCGTAACTACATAAGAAGAATTATCTGGAGATTTCCCACGACAATCCAGAACAATCCGGACTCGTACAATTCCAACACTTATACCTGTTTTGCGATTCCCATTCCTTTGATCTTTCAATTTGTAGGACCAATATGAATATGTTTGAGGCACAAGATAACTAGTACCTGTTTCCAGATGTCCTTCTAAATCCAACCTGCGCAGGCTGCAGTGCTGTGGGCCAAGCATAATGATATGTACCACTAGCACAATCCCGCGTATCTGCATCGCCCTATCGTTCAAGTTGGAATTAATGCCAGAGTTGGAACAAAGCCTAGAGACCGTTTGCGGCACTGCCGATTGCTGAGCAATCATCGATGACGCACTGAATTCGCGATCCGTGGCCAGGCTCAGTCTCCAGCAGTCCTTTCGTTTTCCACTCGAAAAATACTCGCAACGTAATTTTCGCTGAAGCTCCAGCCAGAAGTGGACGTACGAGATGAATTTGATGATCAGGGAAGAGCTGGACCTGTGTGTAACAACTCACGCGGGGACGTCCGCCACTCAGTGATTGTACCACTCCTGTGAGAATCTAGTTGCAAATTCCGCGGTCTAATTCGTGCGAGCCAATTACTTGCCATCGAAAACTAGAAGCAGAAGCAAGAGGGTGTGGGGGACTCTCATTTTCAAAACTCGATACGGGGGGGGGGGCGCAACGCACATCGGGACCCGTGTTCGACACTTGGATGTGTTTTCATATCCAGTCTTTGCGTTCAGAGCAAAGTTAATGCTGGGATAACAGATTCGATCCACAGCAATCCGCAGTCGCACAGATCTAACTACAGTCACACCGTTCTATCACATACTAGCATTTCTCCCCAGGCTCCCTGGCATCCTCTCACACTTTCCCTGGCCATAATATATGCACATCGCACTGGGTACTTTGGACGGGGCTGGGAATGGGTTGGTGCTTGTGTGTGTGTGTGCGTGAGATGTATGTCCGTGTGGTTAGCTGGCATGTGAATGGTGTCCCTGTTCGCAGCCAGAGATGGGCGAGGAGGCATTGAGCAGTTCTTTTCGGTGGACACCCTCACACTCATAGTGATCGCAGGCCTGGGCACCCGTTATGGCTTCCATCTTTCTCATTCCCATCGAGGTTGATAGGTCGTTGAGAAATGCGAACTTGATCATTCCGATTGTGAGTTTGATAAGTAGACACATGTACATATATACTCAGATATAACAGGAGTGTGTAAAATCACACGCCTGCGTGTTCTGGGGAGAAGTAAGGAAAGCCATTCATGTGAAGAGGGGAGGGGGGGGATTAATGTTACTCTTGCAACCCAGTAGAGGTTAGTCACTTGTGTGTCAATGAGTGTGCAACGCTAAGGTCATCTTGTACGGCGGTTGGCGCTTCCCACCTATCGACGATGCTTCTAGATCGACACCCTCAATCAGCACGAACGCCCAATGACGCGACGATTCACCATCCGTAACTTCCAGGGATGTTAATGCATTACAAAACGATACAATATGAATAGGGGACGTTTGGTTCGATAGTTTGCAGGGTCCCAAGCCAAACATGACAACAATCTAATCTCGAAGGGCAATTTTTTCAAAAGTTCTGCGGTAGAAAAGCGCTTGCGCACAAACTTAGGTTCGGTCCCTGAGCTTTAACCTCCTCTCTCTCTCTCTCTCTCTCTGTCCTTGTTGTGGACGCCTGGAATGGAGATGATGGCAGGAACGGAGTCTTTCTGAGATAAAATTGCGTAACCAATTTGACATAGGTGCATGGCGTGGAGTTCCATCCCCGAATTCAATAAGAGTGACGGCAATAACAAATCCGTTTCTTTCCACTTATTATTTTTTTTTTTTGTTTCCTTTGAAATTATCTTTTTGGGTCAGATTTTTTTCTCCCCCCGCTAATTTTTTTTCCCTTCACTTTCCCTTTTTACCTTGACGTTCCTTCAGGGACAGGTTTTACAGACTCGTTTGGCGAAATCTCATGTAAACTCTGCTCCTCCGACAGGTACATGTTATTAGTTTCCTTCTACCTCATCATCGTTCTTGCAGAGGGCTCCTTAAGCCAGGAGAAGTTGCACTGGATTGCGATGCTGAAGGGGAGGCCGATGGCGTGAGAAGTTCATCATTCGGAAGGGTCTTCTAGATTATTTTTCGCAGTCGTGCGAACATTTTGTTTTTTTTTTAAAAGTAATTTACCGATAAAAAAAGTTGATGGGAATTCTTTCCTTGTTTGGGCGGGTACCAGATCCGTAGATTCGTCATATATATTCAGTCGAGGTGATGATGTTCTGGAAAAAGAGGCGGTGACTACAGTTGGCAAAGTGCCTTGGATGATTTATCAAATTCAAAATTGAATTTCTTTTGAAAGGAATTTGATAATACATATCAGAAATTGCCTCGTTTTTTTTTTCTCTCTCTCTTCAACCCTTTTTATTCGCACAGAATCACCCGGATTGAATAGTGACCCTTTCTGGCAATTTGAAAATGAATCCTGCAAAGGAGTTTTGTCGTCCGTCGTTCTCGTTTCCAATCCCAAATCCAAATCCGAAATAAAAAAAAAACGAAAAAACAACAATATGTTCAATCCATCCCTGGATATAAATCCCCCGAATCTCGTCTTCCTCTTCTGCCTCACTTCACCCATCACCCTTCCTCCTCACCATGGCTCACGTTCAGCAAAAGCCCTACAATGAGGACAAGCTCCCCCAGTTCACACCCATGAAGTGCGTTCCTTCCTACCATCTCGCTTTCCTTCCACATCTACTGACCTGACTTTTTTTTTCTCCTTGCTTCGTTCACTCCCCCCTCGCGCCTTTATCACTCACCCAACATCCCGGCTTCCCCTCTCACAATGTGGAATCGCTCCCATCACCATCTCCCAGCTGGTCCTTGGGCGAAATCCGCGCTGCCATCCCCGCCAAATACTTCGTGCGTGACACTGCTCGGGGTCTCCGACACGCTGCGCGCGACTTTGTTATTGGTGCCGTCTTTTGGTACTTGGCTACCTACATTGATCCCTTGGCCAAGTCGAAAGCCACCGTTGAAGCGTTGGGGACGATTGGCGCTGAGGTCTTCAGATGGTCACTTTGGTCCGTTTATTGGTGGTTCCAGGGTTTGAACTTCACCGGCATCTGGGTTATTGGACATGAAGTGAGTTTGGTTTTTTCCCCCTTCAACATGGCCTGTTGTCGCCGTGCCTGGGCGTGGTTCGATGCGATGCGTGCCCGTTGCTTCGAGGCCTTGACTATTAGCAAACCTACTGACCACAACACCGCTTTCTCTACTATCTAGTCTGGCCATGGTGCTTTCTCTGCCAACCGTACCGTTTGCGATATCGTCGGTTTCATTACCCACACCCTCATGTGGACTCCTTACTTCTCCTGGCGTATCTCCCATCATCGTCATCATTCCAACCACGCCTCGATGGAGAAAGATGAAGTGTATGTCCCCAAGACTCGTTCAGATCTTGGTATCCCTGAGGGACGCAATGAGGATATCGACTGGGAGCATTATTTGGGTGACACTCCTCTCTACACCCTCTACATGCTGGTTCGTCAGCAAGTACTTGCTTTCCCTGCTTACCTCCTCTTCAACGTCTCTGGCCAAAAGTCCTACCCCAAGTGGTGAGTTGAATCATTGGAAATGTTCATTCAATTGAGTAAGACGCTCAAAAAATTCTTTCATTGATCAGGACCAACCACTTTGACCCCAACTCCGTGCTGTTCAACCCATCTCAACGTAATGCTGTTATCGCTTCCAATCTCGGTATCTTCGCAATGATTTGGGGAGTCACCTATGCGTCCACTGTCTACGGGACTGCCGAAGTGATCAAATACTACTTCTTCCCATGGCTCTGCGTTTCTCATTGGTTCATCATGATCACTTACCTCCACCACACTGATGAGAACCTCCCTCATTATCGCAAAGCCGAGTGGTCCTTCCAGCGCGGAGCTGCCTGCACTGTCGATCGTCCCTTCTTGGGCTGGCAAGGTCGATTCTTCCTGCACGACGTCGCGCACTACCACGTTATCCACCACTTCTTCCCTCAAATGCCATTCTACCACGGAGAGGCTGCCACCCAGCACTTGAAGGCGTTCATTGGCGACTATTACGTTCGCTCTGATCAGAATCCTTTCTCCGCGCTCTGGCAGGCATACAACAACTGCCAGTTTGTTGAGGATGAGGGTGACGTCGTCTTCTACAGGAACCGGAAGGGTGAAGCTTACAGGAGGCCGGCCGATCCTTGGTACACCCCTTCATCCAAGCCTGCAAAGGTTAGCGCTGAGTGAAGAATGAATAAAGTCGGTTGTCGGGAGGCCTTGTTCGTCTTGCTCGATAATTTGCTTGTCCTTTTTTCATTCTTGCTGTAGCCACTGTTTTCTTATCATCGCACATTCTCTCGATTTTTTTGCTTGCTGACTTCATAGAATTTCTCGTCCATTGTTTTATTACATAAGAATCTCTTCAAATAAAATTACAGAAAGAGATCCTTGATTTAGACTGTACTATTATTATGGACGTTGTACTTGGGTGTGATCCGGAGCTGTGAGTGGGTGAGGTTGGGGAAATCACCGTGAAGCGACGTCGAGGTAGGTTGAAAATTGATCAATGGAATATCCGACGGGGGTTGCGATGCTGATGTTCCGCTTCGTATGCGATCCCCTATCTTCCGGATCTCCGACCAAGCAGTGCTAGGGATATTCTGTAGTGAGTGCCAGTTGTCAACTTTGACAAATATATTCTTGAGTCTATGGCATGGTGGATGTGTGTGTGTGCAGTTATACGTATAGGGTGCTCTGGGTCACGACTGTCAGACTTGTTGCAGACTGGGGTTAAGTGCATTTGATGTCTATTCGCATTCATTGGGTGCGATGGATGAGAGGATGCTGATCGTATGTATGAGAAGAACATCGTAGGAGGGGTGTGGGAGGAGGGCCTGTCATGGAAGCGAATGATTGCGGATGCGTGCACTATCTGTACATAATCCCCGTACATGTACACCTATGGCTGAGCTGGCGAGGCATTTGTTTCGTATGTGGGCTTAGTAGCACGGTCTAATGAACATGCGGCCAGGGCTGCCATTAGGTCTGTACCAGGGGATGGAAGCCTGAGCCGAGTACAGTGTTAACTCTCATGCTTACATCATCACTCATGGAATGGGCCGGTGCTGATTGTCGTGTCCCTCGATTTCGACAACATGTAAGTATAGGCGTTTATTATTGTTAGCCTAGCTGCTTGCTGCGATCCTCCCATGACGTCCAACTGGGTTGGGTGCGTGTCTATGTATGAAGGGAATTTATTGGTTGATAGGGTTAATTTATGTTTGTGTACATAGCCAAGGGGATAGTGTTATGCGTATTACTTTTCGCTAACGTACTATATTACTATATGGTCGAAAGTGCGAAGATGGACAGGTACTTCCCTCTTTTCTGCCGGTCCTGTGGGTGTGAGTAAGGAGCCAGGGGCTTATTCAACTTGCAAAATGAAGGTTCGATTCGATATGACCGGCGGCAAGCCGCATGCGGGAGGGAGAAGAGAACACTCACCGCGCGTGGGCAGATTCAGAATCAGATTGGGCCATGTGAGATAGGTCCACGGGGTGCATCATACATCCATGGACCAGACTCACTTTTTTTATTCTCGTCCCGGTTGAGTAATGCTCAGGTTGCACAACCATGGCCGAGGAAGCTTTCCTTATGGGTGTATGTGAAAATTGGATTTGAGGGGCGCTTGCGCGGAACCTCCCACCAATTCGCGACCTTAGTCGGCAATTTTGTTTGCTTGTTATGTATCGTCACAACTCAACTACGAGTCACATTGCGTGGCTTCTCGTTCGGCGCTTTTGTACATGCATGAAGGGACTTCTGGTTCACCATGGATCGGAATAATCGCCGATGGGGGTCGAAATCGGGAGATACACGGTGTGTGGATCGCGCGCGAGGGAAGGTTTGTATGGTGATATAGTTACCGGTTATCATACTATCGCCTTGAGTGGTTGGACAGGGCACGCGGTCCCTCATTGCCGATTTTTTGTGCACTGACGTTGGAACTGGCGGGCCCCGGCCTGTGCCTGAATTGGTTTGGGAAGTGCGCGCAGTGTGAATGTGGTTTACTCTCATACTCACACTAATCATTTTCTGCAAACCCAAATTGTATGCGGATCGTGCCGTGCCGTGCTGCAATTAGTTGCTTTGCTGTCGACGGTCGTGATCTGCTATATGGCTAGGCAGGATCCCAGTCTCTACTATATGGCTGTCTACTCATCAAGTTGTGTTCTCAGGGGCCATCGGGATGTCACTGTATTCTTACTGAATTTTTGGGACCAATGTGGCCATTACTACAACGGATTCCACGCTGCGATCGTCGCGGGCAATCTCCCTTTTATGCTACACTGGTGCGTCCTTTATGTGGGCCCACATATGTTGGACATCGGGATGTGTGCATCTGTGTCGTATTCCGGGGTAACGGTACGTGCGGCCTGGTCCAGCGCAAAGGATACCTCCAAGATTCACACCTCCTGAGGTGGCGATTCGATCAGAGGGATTTTTAGTACGATTTTCGCATTGCATCACGCCGCATTCCGCGCATCCTCGTCACTATTAGTGCATTCATTGTTGTCTAATTTCGTCTGTTGTGGGTTGAACCTTGGGAGTGCTGAACTTCCCTCTTGAGCTTAGTATTGGAGTCGAGGGCTCCGAGGGAGCCAAAAACAACCAACTTGTTCTTTCACACTCTCAGGGTTTGTACTTTATATCAAGGTTGTTGTGCAGTGCTACCCCTCATTTTTGGCACCAGCGCTGACTGTAACTCCATGTGTCATATCTGTGCATACCTGATCCCAACCCGACTTCTGGACCTCCTCCTTCCCCACCTCTGGAGTCTTACCCTACTACTGTCTGTTCCGATACTCACCTTTGGTCCTGGCAACACACCTCCTCTTACCTCCGATGCCACCTCCACTCCTCCTTCCCTCTCCTCCCCTATCTCCGTCCGCTCCAATACTCACCTTGGACTGAACACTGCCCCTCTCGCCACCCTCCTACTACTCCTCCTCCTACTCCTCTGCTCCTCCTTCACAACACCTCCACCCTTCCGTCACCCTCCTACGCTTCCCCCATCCGCTCCGATACTCACCTTCGGACCTGACAAACTCTCCTTTCTGCCACTCCTCTCTTCCCTTTCTCCTCTCTCCTCCCTCTGGTACTCTTCCGCCAAGTTACGACCTTCCACCGCTGTCCCGTACTTCGTACTCGGGCACCGCTCGTACCTTTGCTCTGAGCCTCCGTTATAGTCCCTACCTTGGACTTTGACTCCACCTTGGTCTTAGTCCATTGCATTGGTGACCTCATACTACATAAACACCATTGCCAATATCCCTTGGACTTTCAACCCCGCCTCTGTAAGCTCTGTAAGCTCCGTAAGCTCCAAGCTTCATGGATCGCCTTCGGCACTTTCGCCGCTTGTAATGTATCTCTCGCGTTTTCCCCTCATCCCTATTTGGACTGCTGCTTCTTCCCATTCTAGCCAGTTAGTCATCATCCCCACTTCTCCTCATCCTCTGCCCCTCTGGGCCTTGCCCTCCCTACCTCCTTTCGGACGTATCACAGGTCCTGCCTTATGACCTTCGGTACCGCTCCGCTTCTGTCTACCCTTTGTTCCTGTTTGGACGTCTTCATTCTGATTCGGATCCCCTTTGTTTCCTTGTGCTTTTGCCCCCTCCATTATATATATCGGTGCTTGTACATACTCGTTTTAGGCTCAGTCCGAAATTGACCTGAAATGCCCCCTAGAGACTTCCTGCTCGCCTACTGTGAAATTAAGGACCAAATGGACAAACAGCAATGGCACAGCGCTCCGCTTGAGTCACTGAGGCCAAGGTCCCTCCACACTAAGTCTCTGATTCCACTCCGGAGTCGTCTGAATCCGCGACACATCTCTAACACCATGAGTGTAAAGTGTTGGAATTTGTACACATGGTCTCAGGAACCTTAATGCATAAAATATGGACATTCTGGGAGTCGAACTGCAGAGCCCTGCATAGGTACCTAGAGTGTGTTACCATTACACTAAATGCCTGCATTAGGCAGAGGTGGTTGCTAACATAAAGGTTCCAATCTGGGGTAGCCAATATGTTTTCGATAACCCATGGCCACTAATTCCCATCTGTATAATTCAGGTCCATGTGTATGCATGTGTGGATTTTATAGTAAACCATAGGATGAGGCCACAATGGGGCCAGTGTTGGACCACATCATGAAAACTGGCAGGCACTCCTATCAGCTCTTGAGTGCTCCTGAGCATTGGTTTGCTCCTGAAGTGCTCTGGAGTGCTCCAGAGTGCTCTGGAGCACATATTACTGTACTATAACGACCATTGGTTCAGTCACATGTCACAGTGAGAATTTGAACAGATAAATGTATTGACAACTAGTTCCCATGGAATCCGGGAGTTGCCGGAATCAGTAAATCAATTCAGTTTTAATTCAGTTTAAGATTTTCATGTGATGTGTGGCACATGTCACACTGAGGGATGAACTATGCAAGGAGATGGCAATCCCCAAAAACCATGGGAATGAACCTATGGTTATAGTACAGTATACTGGATCTCACCCACTCAGTTTATGCATTAAACATTCACGTTGCAGAAAGAAGAAATTCTTTAACTACATACAGGAAATGTAACTAATTGTCATATCTAAGTATCCAATGAACCACCTTCCTCTCCCTTGCACACTTCTGGTGGCTCCATATTGGTACCTACAATGAACTTCCTGTCAGATGATAAATATTGAATTACTGGAAAAACTCACAAGGCAGAGCAATGAGATGTTGGACCACTCCTTGCAGAATGGTAACAGTACTGAGTTATAGCTAAGCACAACCCATGAGACTGGGATCTCACAAGAATTTGAGCACTTGATGATTCAAGGAGCTGAAGAGTGTCTAGCAGATGACTAGAGACATAATAGTGACTTTGTCAAGAAAACACAGACCCTTGACTAAAGGAGCAATTGTGTGTGAGGAAATGGAGAATGTGACAAACAGACCAGGAGAACAATGTGGAGAGCACAGAGTAACTTAAGTGCCAGGCTTTCACATACAGCCCAGACATGACTAAAATCTGACACCACAACCCAGAGGACCCAACCATACCAACTAGACAATCTTACCCTGTATTGATGAATCGTCCACTCAGATGGAACACATGGGAAAGCTGCACTGCCATGTATGAACATGGCCATGAGATCCAGTCAACACATAAGGTGAGCTCAATAGAGGTGGAGGGATCTATCTCTGCTGTGAAATCTGAGTTTTGAGTTCTACAGTGCCCCAAAAAACTGTTGCAATGTTTTGTGCTTTTCACTTTATGAGCTTATTACACCCTGGGAAGTGATCCTAAAATTGCATAAAAATATGAAAATAATGCGCTAGTAGCTTATTAATAATTCCACCAATTCTCTAATAAATATGTCCATTTTTGGTAAAGTTATTTACTTTACAAAGGACCCATGTCATTGCAATGGTTTTTTGGTGTGCATTTTGGAGAAAGGAAAATCACATTAACTAGTATTTAGTATAGCCACCTTTTTCCCTAAGTACTGCCTCAATCCTCCTAGGCATAATCTCGATTAAATTCTGGCAGACACTTGGTTCTATCCTCTCCCACTCCTCCTGAAACTGATCCCACAGCTCATGAACACTACTTGGAGGTTCTTCATACTCCCCAAGCTTCCTCTTTACATGGTTCCATAAATGTTTGATTGGATTAAGGTCTGGGGACTGGGAGGGCCACTCCATGACCCTGATACCATGGTTATTGAACCAGTTCTGGGCCCTTTTGCAGGTGTGTTTTGGGTTGTTGTCCTGTTGGGAAAGGATGTGGGTTGGGTTTTTGTCATAATATGAGAGGGTTTGCTGGAAGTCCTCTTCCAGGATTTGGAAGTAGAGCTTGGCATCCATCTTCCCATCAATACTGCATGCCATTCCAACCCCATCCAATGTAATACATCCCCAAACCATGACAAAACCACCATGAAACTTTCTTGTTCCTTGCACCAGTCTGTCTGTGAGGCCCTGGCCCATGTCTATATTCTGCCCACAACATCAGTTGATGTTGTGTTGTCTAATAATTATGTTGCAACGCTAATTTAGCGTCATGGAAGCTTCTCTATTTATTTGTGCCAAGAATGCATTAGATTGTATATAAACCCTCAGGGTAGCTGTAAAAGGTGGATCAGCCTTTACTTCTACCCCGTTAATATACAGCCCATCAAAGCGTATACTTAGATGGACCAACTGAGGCCTGAGGCGAATGGGGGAATGGAACGTTACCGTCCCCAAAATAGTAAGATAACCTTTCACTGTCTGTAAGAGGTTCATCCACCCATTTCCACACCCATTTCCTCCCATCTGAGCCCAGGCAATTCACCTTAGTCTCATCAGACCACACCACTCTCTTCCAATCCTCCAGAGTCCACTCTTTGTGGCTGATTGTGAAGTCCATTCTCTCCTTATGACATCTGCTGAGGAGCATGGGCTGCTTCTTCTTCACCACTGCTTTCCAACCAGCCTCCTTTAGTTGCAGATGAACAGCCTCAGTTGAGAGGCTGGTGCTGGTGACTTTTTGAAGAATTCAGGTGACTTGTGCAGCATTGTTGGCTTTACCAGAGTTGATAAGATGCATTGCATGACAGATATTGGTGTCTGAGAGCTTAGATGGGCAACCACCACTGGGCTTAGGAGTGTCAGGACAATGTTTAGACCAAATATGGGTAACAGTGGAATGGTGGACAGCAGTAATTGATAAGCACTGTGGCCAGAATCAGAAAAAGCACTTGTTCAATTTTCAAAGCAGCCAATTGATGCATTTTAGAATTGGGGATTACAGCTTGAAATCCATGTGTATTTATGCTCCAGCAATGTTTATTTGTTTACTAGTGTGTATAGTAAACAATATCACATGACCTATCACATGATATTTCCAGTTTTAGTCCATTCTAGCAGCACACCAAAAAACCGTTGCAATGACATGGGTCCCTTGTGAATTGGATAACTTTACCAAAAATGACCATATTGATTACATAATTGGTGGAGTTATGGACAGGATACTAACACATGTTTAACATATTTATTTGAAAATTTAAAACCCTTTCCCATTGTTTAATAAGCTCTTGAAGTCAAAAGTGCAAAACATTGCAACTGTTATGGAAATGGGAAATTTCCCAATTTAGACTCTTATGGGCCCTGCACACACCCAAATCACATGATATGTAAATAAATAGAGTTTATCGAACTATTACCATTGAAAACCCATTTGTTAAACTATCTGTTAAACTCCATGTTACAACATCTATAACAACATCTGTAACTTCTTATGAACGCTCTTCCCCAACCTTTCCCCTTTCCTGTGCCTCGAACGGACGAAAATGGGCACCTCCGGCCCCATTTTTGTAACAGCAACAGTTTTTTGGGGCACTGGTATGTTCAAGAGACAATGCCTGTGTGCAGAGTGATGATTCAGTTGCAAAAGCCAGCCATGGCAGAGGAAGTGCAGTGCACCAAGTGTGCTATAGTTTTCCCAGATGCAGCCATGCAGCATAGAGACTAATGGTGGTGGTGTTATGGGAACAGTGAGGTTGGGAATGGCAGGATGGGTGTCAGGGCACACACCCTGACTAGCCTGGATCCGGACCCACATATGTGCTTCTGCCCTGCATGCTCCATGTGCTGCATGCTCCGGGCCTGGTTCCCATCCTTCATGTGACTTCTGGGTATCCCCGGAAGTTTTCGCCATATTGGGGCCACTGTGGGAAAGTGAGAAGTTAACTTTCTTCTCACTTTCTTACCCATAGCAGGCAAGTGTACATTACTTGCCCTTTGTTTATTCCACTTTCTTACCCACAGCAGAGTTGTGCCCTGGACAGGGCTGTTCACAGGCTAGACTGTGGGCCATAGAGAGGGGTCATGGGGACCCAGGGTCTGTCCCCTGACAATGGGGTAAAGTGCTGTGGTGTCAGGGATGGTGCAGGAGAGGTGGGGGTAGCAGCCTGGGTGGCAGCGGAGTAGTGGTCTGGCCGTGAAAACTGAGATTTTCAGCATCACCTAGCCATCACTGTTGCAGGAGCTTACGAGAAGGGGACAGGAAAGAATCCCCACATATGATGCAGGCAACTCGCTCCCTGCTTGATTTCTCTTACAAGGCACAGTTTCCAGTCCATTCAGACATCACTTTGGAGTCAATGCTCCATGATCTGAAGGTTTATGGGTGTTCATTGAGAATGGTGCCCACTGTAATGGGAAGGGCATACCGATTAGCCATTTCCGAATCCCCAAGCACCAGAACCTCTGTCACTTCATGGATGATATTCACGATCACGGAACACTGGACAACGGTTCATCAGAGATAACTGAGGCATTGCATATCCCCACTTGCAAAGTCACTTACCATGCGACAAATCGAAGAGGATTCACCACCCAAATTCTCAATCAGCTTCAACGTATTGATTCCCTCTCCATTTATTCATTTATTCTGGAATCCAAAGGGATTAGTCAGTCTCTGCCATCAAAGCATCATGGTGGCAGAACTTACTCAGATAATGGTATCGCTAGAGGGCTCTCTCCACACTTGGACTCCAATGCTGCAGTGGTCACCATCTCAAAACGTCCACAATCTACTGGGATGGCAATTAGTATGGCCTCATCCAAGTTCTCCACCCTGGACCTTGTGTCAGCAATGCTTCGATTTTTTGTGTATAACCGGGACATGGGCCTCAGACATGGTCCAAACTGGTACTATTATGCCAGCACCATGCCACTCCCACTTTCAATTAGCTCGGTTGATATCTGGCATGCATTCAAACTTCAGTGCCCTCCACCCAATCCGTTTTACACACCTTTGCACACCTGAGTAGCATGCTCACCTCCTCATGGGGACCATGCAGCAGCCTACAGCACAGTGCTCATCAGCGTAAATGATGCATGTGCTAAAACAGATGTTCGTCGTAAGTTAAAATCTTCTAAATTATACCTTCCCATTATTGAAGCATGGGGACTGCTCTTGAAACAGGTTATCGGGTTGGTGAGGTTTGGATCGTCTTTGCTTTGCCTAGTGATCAAGAAACAGAAGCTGCCAATAACTGGAAAATTGTACACATTTGTTCATTGGTTCAGCCCTATCTCCAATCCAAATGCACACATGCATCTACATACCATGAAGAAGGTAATATTGAATGGTGTCCCTGATGGTGGTGTCATTCCACTTTCATGTGTTGTAGCACTGTGCCTGCTAGCACCTATCCTCACAGGGCAAATCCACAAAGGGAGTGTGAAGAGTACCACCTGTATGGAGACACAAATGGAATTTTACATCAATCCATTTGCAAGTCATTTTGATTATGAAATGTATGCTTAGTACTCACTGATCAGTTTGTATATAACGTTTGTATACCAATAACAGTGCTCAGGTATTCAGTCTACACTTGCACTGCAGACCCGCTACTATGGGGCAGTGGTAGCAACTTGAAGAATAACTTGCCAATGGTGTGGAATGCCTTCACCTATTGCCTGAAACGGTATCAGCGACCATACAAAATGTCACCAATAAACCCTAGTCAGGTGTGGTCAAGAGCTGGAGCACACTGGCATCATGGATGAGTGGAAAGTTGATGATGAACAGAGAGTATGAGTACTACGAAGGAGAGAACATGGGAGATGGGTGTACGTGGGCCATCAAATATATGGGATAAGTAACACCAGCAACATGAATGCCACTGGTGAACAGCAGTGGTTGGGGGTTGGGTGGCAAGAGCAGCCTGAGGGCAGGACAGAGAAATGGGTTGATGAACAAGAGCACATGGAGCATGAGGAGCATGTGGAGAATGGAGGAGCAATGTGATGTGAGAGCGCCAGGAGCATGTGGAGATGGAAGAGCATTAGCACAGCATAGCAATGCTCTGGGAGTCAGGGGAGCCAAACCGAGTTTGCTGATGCTGTCAGAGACCAGGTTTGGGATGAATGATGACATCACTGTGAATGGAGGGCTACAGCCTCAGTGACTTATGCCAGGAGCACTGTGCCCAGTAACATGTTGGTGCCCTAATTTATGGGAAAGGAGGGAACTCTAGAAGAGGGGGGAAACTCTAGTTGATCTTTTTGCTGAGGTGCAATGTATATACAAGTTATGTATACAGTGCCCCAAAAAACTGTTGCAATGTTTTGCACATTTCACTTCATGAGCATATTGCACCATGGGAAGGGATCCTAAAATTGCAAAAAAAATATTAAAATCATGCAAGAGTATCTCATCCATAACTCCACCAATTATGTAGTAAATATGTCCATTTTTGGTTAAGTTATTTGATTCACAAATGGCCCATGTCATTGCAACGGTTTTTTGGTGTCCAATTTTGATAAAGGAAAATCACATTAATTAATACTTGGTATATCCACCTTTTGCCCTACATACTGCCTCAATCCTCCTAGGCATACTTTCAATCAAATTCTGGCACACACTTGGCTCTATCTTGTCCCACTCCTCCTGAAAGCACTCCCACAGCTGATGAACACTATTTGGTGATTGTTCATACTCCCCAAGCTTCCTCTTCACATGATTCCACAAGTGCTCAATTGGATTTAGGTCTGGGGACTGAGAGGGCCACTCCATGACCCTGATACCATGGTTATTGAACCAGTTCTGGGCCTTTTTGCTGGTGTGTTTGGGGTCATTGTCCTGTTGGAAGAGGACATGGGCTGGGTTTTGTCAGGGACAGCTCCGAAAGCGGTGAGGTCCCGGCACGAGGGACTCGATGGGACAGGTGTCAGCTATGCATAGTGGCAGTCCTGTCGCAGGGTGAGCATCCCTGACCACTTAGTCTGAAGTGGGAAGTTGAGAAGAAGGCTGCTTCTTCTGTTCCCACCCCAGGCGCTATTATATACATGTGGTTAGGGTCACATGGGAGGAGCCATGTCATCTCCACACACAGCTGCACCTCCCTGGGTGTCTCCATGGGAGATCCCAGAGGTGGCCACTCTGTAGGTGGGAATGCACATAGTGCGTGCAGCGATTGGGGGGATGGGGTTAGGTGTGTAGTGGTACATAGAGAAAAGGGAAGTCGACCATGGAACAGAAATAGAGAGAAAGAAGAAAAGGGGAAAGGAGGAATGGGGAGTGATAGCGGGGGAAGCGGAGTAGGGCAGTGCAGCATGGGATGCAGCGCAGGGTCAGGTGGGGTGTGCCCTGACATCACCCCACCTTAAGCCGCTTTGCCTCGAAGCGGCTGGGTGGTTCTCTTTTTCTCTCCCTGGGGCATGGGGGTGCATTTGATGGAACTCAACTAGGTCAGAGGCATGGGTCAGGTGGTCATGCATGAGCCATTGGTTTTCTGAGTGTGGCCAGCCTGTATACTTTACCAGGTACTGGAGTTTTTGGCATAGCCACTTAGAGTCCAGGATTTTCTTGACCTCATACTCCTCTTCTCCATCTATGAGGTCTGGGCCCAGGTGGGGGTCAGTGGGGCATTCCACGATTTCATCAGGGTGGTGCAGTCTGATGTTTGTCATGGATACAACTGGGTGGATCCCTCTTTGTCGGGTGGTGAGCCAGAGTTTGACAGCGGTGGGGGAGACGACTTTAACGATTGTGAAGGGGCCAGTCCATTTATGGTCCAACTTCTTGGTCGGGTGGTCAGTTGTGTAATTCTGGGTGCTGAGCCAGACCTGGTCACCTTCTTGGTATGCAGGGGCTGCCTCATGGTTCCAGTCATAGTAGTGGGCCATCTCATCTGCCGCATGCTCTAGCGCTGCCTTTGCCTCTTCCTGCATCTTCATCATCCTCGATGAGAAGGCATCAGTGGCTTTTACCTTGGATGTGCATGTGGGCTCTGTCCCTATCCTAGGGTGTTGGCCAGTATCAAGCTCAAAAGGGGTACGGCGAGTGGAGGAGTGGACACGGTTGTTATAGGTGAACTCCACTAGCGGGAGCCAGTCTGCCCGGTGTTGAAGGGGTGAGCTTGACACTGAGGAGGTCCGTGAGTTCTTTCAAGAATCGTGAGACAAAGGCACTCCCTCTGTCACTGAGGATTTCTTTGGGGAGACCATGGTGCTTCCAGACATGTTCAAGAAAAAGCCACACTGTAACCAGGCAAAAAGGCTGCCCAGGCAAAAGAGTAGGGACCTGGGGGTAGAGTCTGAATCAGGTCAGAAGGAAGGGAAAGGATGGGTGGTGACAGTGCCGATACTGTGCTGTGGTCTGGGTGCTGGACAATCAATCAATAAATCTCACTAATCATGTACTCACTCCTGGTCCTTCTTGGACAGTTGTCAGGAGGCTTCTTTAATGTGTGGAGGGATCGCTCAACACCACATTCTTTGTAGCACGGAAGAGGGGTCCAACAACTGTAAGTACAATGCAAACTGGGTGTATATATAGAAAAAAAGAGAAATCAGAACAAAAAACAAAGAAAATGTTGGAGGAACTGTGTGCTATGGGAGGCTGGATGAGTTTTTGTACAGTCACATCCCCACATCCAAGTGAGGAACTCACCCAGACAGCCACATTCCCATGCTAGCATGACTACTTGGTCACAACACCTCTTTTATATTATTTCGGACTAACCCGTGCCAGGCCATGGATATATTCATTCATTTCCTTTTCCCTCAGTTCTTCATGCATATTAGCTGAGACTGAGGTTAGTTACATTCCTTTATTACTATTTCCTTTACTATTGTAACTTACAATATGTACATTACCTTCAGCTTCCTGCTTATAGGTAATATATTAGTTCTTCATGCATATTAGCTGAGACTGAGCTTCCCACTTATAGTCCAGCTCCGAGATCAAGTGTCGCTCATCAACAGAAAATAGCTGATGGATGGTGGCAATGGAAATGGGAAGAATGTTGAGAACTTGGCTAAGAAACAATAAGGCAAAAAAAATGTCCACAAGGCAACAATAAAATCAATAATTGAGGCCCATAAGGTCAATATCAACCATCAATCTCGCTTCTCCACTGCATATCCATCATCCTAACTCCCATCCTGTCATTCCATCCTCTTCTCCTGATCCATCACTGTTGTCATATCCATCCACGGCCATTGACTTCCACCACTTCCGATCCCTCTGGACTATCTCCACTCTTTCTTCACTAACCTCGGAGCCCCCATATTCTGCAATCACCTCTGCACCCCTTGATGGTCACCACCCCCTCTTTTCAATATATTACCTACACCTCCCTAAGTACGGAGCCCCGAAGGTTTCCAGTGAAGGAGCGGAGCTGGATCACTGTAACCAGTTTCCTATGTCCAATAATGATATTAGAGTTTGTGCTGATTTGCATACTGACCATGTTTTGGTTGCCAAATATATAATTGTTCACTGTCTAAACAACAATAAACACCCCCCAACGATCTCACCTGATGTATAGATCATCTATGGATAAAATGCTATATTGACTTTACTACGATTTCTAGTCAATATTACACCTAGATATACCACTTTTCAGTAGGACATGATTTTCCTGATAATTTACTGAAGGAAAACTACTAATAAAATAATTCCGCAATAAATGTTACTCAATACAGGAGTGACCAAACTGCTCTTTCTATCGCTTAGAGTGCATGCTAGTTATCTAGCAGGTTCAGGATTGCTCACTTTTCTCCTGTGGTGTGATAACCAAGTATTGCTGAGAGATTATTCAATTAAGAAGTCCCTCCACCAAATTCTCACTAATTCTCACTATGACACTTTTGTTCAGCTGTCTCTAACTGACCCTAACTCACGCTTAGAGTGACGTGTTAGTTTTATATTAGCTAACAACTAATATTTGCTTTTATCTTTTGGAGCAAACGAACCAACCACTGGTGAGGAGAATTAAACTTTTATTTCTACCTGAGGTTTGAGAGGGGGCAGAAGCGGCAGCCTTTTATGCTTTTCAGAGGCCTCTCTACTCCCACGCCTCGCACTAGTTACATGTGCTACATTTGTATTATAGATAGTTCTAGAATGATATAGGGGCTTGGGCTGTGTAAGCTTAATAATGGACTTAGGACATGACTCAGCAATAAGTAATTCATTTCTTTGTCTTTTGGGCCGATCTTAACGGGGTCTTGTAGCGCTGAGGCTATGCTCTACACCGCCTTAATTACAAACGGTTATCTTTAGAAATGACTCGGCTATAAAGGAACTTTCTAGACTGTTCTCTAATTGACCCCTTTTTGTGAAGCCACATCATTACTAATGTTCTAGAGCTTTCCCAATAAATTAACTAATCCGCGGACTTCTGAATCACTTTATGCTTATGATCCGAGATCCAGATCATCAATCATTCCTTTGTTCTGATTTATTTGAGCTCAAAATCAAAAAGTTTTGATGAATCATGGGAAAATATACAA